ACTACCTACTCCATATCATTATCAGCCAATCAACTTTTGCTGTACTAGTTTGTCTGTCGCTAGTATCTAGTCTGCGGACATACAAACAAACATACAAACATACATACAGGCATTTTAACTCGATAAGACCCTTTCCTTTACAGTCAAGGGAATAGTGACCTTATCTTAAAATAACACGCCCTAAGTCTAGAAAACCATTAGAAGTAACTGCTTCAAAGAACCACAACGTGAAGGCCCCTTTATTAAAACTTCTCGAATCATGTTCAAGCTATTTTTTTCCATTTGGCAGTGTGTGTTTGTGTTTTTTGTATAGCGGTGGAATAATTACATATGAAATTTCTAATTCAACGGAGACTCATATTAATGTTAGTTTAATACAAAGGCATACATGGCTTGAAACTTATGAGAGTCCATTTAACAATATTAAATACAAATGTAACGATGAAAAGATATCAATGGGAGATTTAGTTGGTATTGGTAATATCACAGGTCAAGTCGATTATTCAAACTGGTACTATTGGGAAGAATTTATCGCCACAGCTGCTGTACCATGCCAATCTTATATGACAGATGATCATGGTTATTATAGTACTGGTGACGGGATAACCGATATTTTACTACCAATAAATATCAAATTTATTGCTAAATTTCGACCAGACATGATGGAAGTACCGGTTTTGTTTGAAATTAATACAAATCAACGATCTGATGGAAAGTAAGGATAAGTACTACACTGTTTTTGGCTTTACGCGTCATATATAAGGACTGCGATTTTCATCATGAGAGAAGAAAAGGTTATGAGTGTGAATATTCCGTTCGAGGAGTGAGGCAGCTAGGGTGTCACTTTTCTCAGGAAATTCCTTAAAATTTCAGAAAAGTCAGCTGATAAAAGGACCCTGTCGGTTTTTCCGTGTATATCGGCCCCTTTCAAACAGGAATACAGTACATACAGTTGAATAGAGGAAGTAGGCGCATTGACTAGTGTTTTGGGTTTTGATTGGACCATTAGGATAGGTTTCAAAGTACATGCGTTCAGTAGGAAAATAGGTGCTTGTCATCTTAAAATTAAAATTTATGCCATGTTTTAAAAATAACCCATCTCCAGTTTTGAGCATAAAAATTGTCCCTTTGAATAAGCGTCAGATTTAGACAATAAAAATCGCATGTTGTTTTTATCCTAACTGGTGAAAAAAATTGTTTTTCAAAAATATGAAGGTTTTTTGCATCCATGAAAAATGTAAAATTCAATTTTTTTTTCTCATTTTCCGCTTCTAATAAAAACTAATACCATATTTGTAATCTATGAATAAAACCGCATCGAATAGGCTATTTTAGAAGTGTTCACTGCCTTACATCTAATACCTATCGTAAACCACAGAGTTAAGACATCTTTCTGCAACTGAAGTGCATATTTGAGGATAAATGAACTGAGTAAAATAACAGACATGAGTCTGTTTTGTAGAGTTTTTTCTTCGTTACAAAGTCTTATATTTAGATATTTCTTACTCGAAACAAGAAGCTGTTTCTTGCACCATAAGTAAGTATCGTAGCAAAAGCCAAAGAAACGCACTCTTATTTTGCAGTTTTCATCGTCAAAATTTTCCATTTTTTTGTAAAACCAATGGCATATTTGGACTCAGCATTAAAAACTGAATAGACTGATGTGCGTCCCAATTTTTTTCAAAAAAAAATTAAAGGATAAAAATTAAAGTTATCTCAAAACCTTGGGACGCACATCAGTCAATTCAGTTTTTAATGCTGAGTCCAAATATGCCATTGGTTTTACAAAAAAATGGAAAATTTTGACGATGAAAACTGCAAAATAAGAGTGCGTTTCTTTGGCTTTTGCTACGATGCTTACTTATTTTCGAAATATCTGATCTATATACACAATAGCGGGAGAATGCTGGAATTTGAAAATCTTGATATAGTGACTTTAGGTCGGTGTAAAACTAAAAATAAACATCATCACTCCGCTAAGCGTGGCTGATACCATGAAGACATATTTTTATTTGAAAATTCTATTAAAGTAAAATAAACGCTTCGCTCTCGCATAACCAGTGTTCTGTCAGTGTTCTGTGAACGAGATAGCGTTTTTCAGCACTTGTAAGTCGTTTCATGATCCATACGGAATATTATCAGCAGTGGTTTTGCAAGAGTACTTCCCCCGTGCTAAATCAACTTTTTTTGAACATCGATGGACACGAGTGTGAGATTTTACATTCTTTCTCTTCTACCGCAATCCTGAGCAATCCAGGGTCGCTCAAGGTCAACGGGCCGAAATCGGGGCTCTCGGAAAAATGCTTATAGCTCCTCAACCGTAAGAGATAGAGAGTTAGAACTGGTCTAGAATTGTAGATCTTGGTTTGGGCTATCGAGCGCACTGTTTGAACATCAAAATCCATCGTACCATCCAGGAACGGCCGTCTCGAAGACTTTGCATCGAAAGGCTTACCATGGCAAACCTTATCTAGAAGCCTAGTTTTTGCATACGCTTACGCCTCTCGATGTTCTCTATCCAACGGTGGAGACCGCATGTCTCCAACTGTTTCCCTTCAAAAGTTATAAGCAGTCTACCCAGCCGCCTTTCTTTTTTAAAACGGTAATACTGTTTAGGTTACATTACAGGTTACATTGACATTTCTCTTAACCTTAAGCTGCCCGCAGTACTCCACAGCATTGCCGTGCTGGGGTAACACCAGTAAGTTTAGGAATTATAGGCAAAACAAAATGATGAAAAAAACGTCTCGGAATTCTATTAAGGTAGCAAAGTTAGCTGAGAACATACACTGACATCTGTGCACCACATCGACGAAAGTTCGACACCTTCATTTACCACCGTTCGGTAGAATTTCTTCGAAGGCACCCCTATCAGTGGACACCAAGGTGTCGTGCAGATAAAACAGAGTATATCTTGATATTTTCAAGTAGTCTGGATCGATTTCGAGTGAATTATGAAATTTTTAGTTTACGGTGAGTGAAAAATGCGTTATTTAACATAGTACAGGTTTCCACTCACGAGGGAAGTATCCCAACTGATAAATCGCTTGTTCAATGAAACCGAGTGGACTATAGATAGTTCACGATGCTGATTCCGAATACCACCATAAACGCTGCTGCTAGGTCTTCAAAGACCGGTCTTCTGGAAAACCAGCTTTCGAGAAACTCTAAACAACGACCAAAAGATTTCTTAATAAGGCGTAATTGTAGTCCATAAATTTCTGATTAAAACGAGGCATCTCTCAGCTCTACACGACCTTTCTTTGCAAAGTTATAGAGTTTACAAAAAAAGCCCTAAATGTTCATTGTCACCTCAGAGCTACAGAAAGAAAAAGGAAAAATGAATTTAGGGCTTTTCTTGTAAACTCTATAACTTTGCAAAGAAAGGTCGTGTAGAGCTGGGAGATGCCTCGTTTTAATCAGAAATTTATGGACTACAATTACGCCTCATTAAGAAAGCTTTTGATTGTTGTTTAGAGTTTCTCGAAAACTGGTTTTCCAGAAGATCGGTCTTTGAAGGCCTAGCAGCAGCATTCATGGTGATATTCGGAATCAGCATCGTCGACTACCTATAGTCCACTCGGTTTCGTTGAAAAAGCGATTTATCAGTTGGGGTACTTCCCTCGTAAGATATATTAGAACTCAAAGGTGGCCTCTGAATGAAATGAAGGCTAATTAAATTTGATTTTTTTCACTGATATCTCTCAGAACTCGTAGGATCTTTTATAGACCGAAAGTCTGACAGTAGATTTATGGCAGATTCATCAACTGTCCAGAAGGTGTCAAAGGAAGGGCTTCGGAAAATGAAAACTAAAAATAACATTAACATCGTATATCCAGTGTAATTAGTGATAAAGGAAGCGACTGGGCTATGTGCATCATCCACCCTGTACATGTGCGAACATATGCGATCGGTTAAAAGTAGTTCTCATGCAAATTATTAGTATCTTCATGCAACGTTCGGCATTTTAATTTTGTTTGTTTTTTAATTTTTAAAGAAGACTCTGTTGTCTTTCGATTATTTTCGCTTTTTAAAATTATTTTCTTATCGCGATCGTCGTATTCACTATCGAACCATTGGATGTTTTTGTTTCATTATTACTCATGAATGAGAGATCAACGTACGTGATCGCTTTGTCAGCGTATGAGGGTGATCCAGATTATAATGTTTGCTATCGCAAGAGCTACGCAATCTTGATCATTCAAAAATTTTATCATGTCCAAGAACATTTTCCAGCGCTTTTTTTGATTGTGCAAGGTTGCAGATCAATGTCCTTGAATATGATGCTTTTTTGACTGAACAAGGCTCCTTAGTTCTTGTGATACCAAACGCTGAGACCTGTACGACACAAAGATTGTACGTCACACTCTAAACAAAAGCTGTAGCTTACAAAATGGATATCAGCTTTGGCATTTGCTCCTAATATAAACCAATACCCGTATGGTACACTCCTATTCAACCATTTTGCAGGGTACGCTTGAACGTTTTTCTCCTAGTACAAAACCTAAATCCGTTCCATCAGATTCAAGCGTACTCTGCGAAATGGTTGAATAGGAATGTACAATGCGGATATTGGTTTCTATTAGGAGAAAATGCGAAAACTGATATTTATTTTGCAAGCTACGGATTTTGTTTAAAGAGTAGACACTATGAAATTAGACACATGCCAAATAATTGCTTAAATAACTGTTACAAAATAATCATTAAAAATATGAGAATTTGTATTGGATATGGTTTAGATGAAGAAAATATCTTACATGACCACTTTTACTTATTAAACTCTAGAACGTTTCTAGGAATGAATAGAATTAGTATTGAGGGTACTATTGATCATTTTCACTTCATATTAAAGGATTTTTATTTTCGTCTCCTAATCGACTAATTACACTAGAGAAATAACTTCTCAATAGCATTTCTCAGATGTTTTGGAAAAAATGTATTTTGATCACCAAATTGATTAGTGGACAGACAACAGAATATAAAGAAAATATATACACGACGAAATATGAACAGAAGAGAAATTTAATTTAACTTCTTTTAGTTTCTCTTGATCTCCGTAGATCATAATGATTTCATCAACTTCTCTTATAATTATAGATAAATATTGTTCCTTCGTAATAAACTTTATTTATTTCCAAACGTTTCGATTGACTAGCTTAATCCTCATCAGTGGATATAAACAAGTAATTTAATTAAATTAAATTAAAATACACAAATTGAACAAAATTTCCTTGTTTTTAATAATATATAGGAACTCCTAACATACTAGACATACTAGTAGATGACAAAAATTGTATCATGACAGAGCATCTTTAACTTTTTCTACTATCTTCTTCGTCTTTTCTTTAATAACCTAGAAAAATTCTCGAAGATTTCTTCTCGAAGTTTCTGAATTGAGACACTTTTTATAATTAAGGAAAAAAATTGATCTCAATTTGAAACACGAGCTTGTAGCTCCTATTTTAATAAAATATAGATTCTTAAACTGTTTTTATCAAAAAAAAAAAAAAATTTTGTCATCCTCATCTTTTTGTATTCTCAAACACTTTGATGTAACGATGATTTAATGCTCTTAACACTTTCGTGTAAATCTTCTAGATCTATATCTCATCTCAACTCATATAATTGTGTTTGACAGCAATCAATACAACATGATTACGTATTGATCTTGTCTTTCTAGGACGTGTACTTCTTTGCTGACATTGTTCTTGTTCATATCGTACCATTGTAGACTCTTCTGACTCCTTAATATAATTTATCCAAGTCTATATCTTAGGATATGTCTCACATTGAGAATTTAAATGAGCGTGATATCCATCTACATGATTATTCGTACGTGGTCTCACATCAATCAAATCAAAATGATTCCAAAAATCTGCTTCAAATCGTGGATTTTCAACATATGTTAATCTGTTAATTTCAAAAAATCTTGGACTAATATTACTAATACTTTCGACTATATTGAAAAATGCTTGATCAATTCTACTAGAAGATTTCTACTTCAATGATAATGCAAGAATATTTGTTAATTTTCGTTGTATTTTTCTTCTTCTTTGGCCAGTATTCGTGTACTGGCTATTTTTGCGAGATCTTTTGCAAAAGTTGTTAAGCCTTGAGCATCAGAGTTAAAAACTAATTCTGTAATCAATTTGGATCTGTGAAACCGTTATTTTATCCTGAACTCAGTTTTAAATTTCAAAATTCAGTTTTGGTTCTACTGTGATTGAGCGTTTCCTGAGTGGCTTATTAATATGCTCTATGATAGATATCCTCCAGTTGATTATGATCCGGTAGAATTCTTCTTCAGAAAGCTGATTTTTATGGAAAATTTATACTTTACCTGGCAATTTCGAATTAAACTAGATGTATCTTATATTTTATTAATGCCTAGGCCATTCCAAGATTAATTTAGCCGTAAGTCAGATTAATCTACACAAGCATCTTGATATTATTTACGTTTACGAAATGTTAAATTGGACTGAACTTGAATTATGCCTACAACATACATATAATAGCTTTTTATCTGAATTTAAATATTTTGTTATCTTCGTTTCTATTCGCAAAGTCCAAAATATGGAATTAATATAAAAGAAAAACATATTAATTTCAGCACACATAATGCTAATGCGCTTATACAGTAATAGGGAACAAGATTTTCTACGTTAAATTTATTATCGATGGTTTTGCTTCGATATCCGTTAAAAATGTGCGGATATTTTCAAAATAGTATGGCATAATTGGTAAATCATTGTGACGACCGAATTCATATGTATATAATTCTCTTTTAGACGCATTACGAGTCTCATTATATAAAATATTTGACATGTACGTGGGAACAATGTTATCTAATAGTCCGGTCAAAAATATACATGGACATTTAATTCTTGATGCTTTTGATAGCGAATCAAACAGATAAACAAAGCCAACGGATTTCGAGATGGACAATACATTTTTTGCGTATGGTAAGAAATGTCGTGCTATTTCTGGAACTGAGATGAACGGATTTTCAAATATAGCACATTTTACACGATTTTCTATATCACTAACCAACTGAATTGCTACACTTGCTCCCAAACTTGTTCCAAAAACAATTATTTTCTCTGGTGGAATATTTTCTTTAATAGTAAGATAATCATAGGCAGCTTGAGCATCCAGATAGAGGCCATACTCGCTCGGGCATCCCGTACTTAACCCAAAACCTCGATAGTCAATAATTAAACAATTACATCCTAAATTATCGTAAAACAGCCTAATAACTTCTAAACGATGCGACAGATTACCACCAGCACCGTGTAAATATAAAATAGTGTCTTTTTGTCTGAATTCATCATCTTGCAACGATTGTTGAATAAAATAACAGTGAATGTACTCATTATCGAAAGTTTGGATGTAAAACTCTTTGTAATGCATATTAAAGTCATCTGGAGTCCGTATAATCTGGTGGGTATTTTCTGGTTGATGATGGGAAAATATGTGCTTACTTTGAACGTTTTCGGTTATCAAGCCTAAAAAGAATTAATTTTAATCACAAAATAATAGTTATCGATAAAGATCTCAAACATCATGCATCATTGTGCATGCACCTACTCTAGCCCTATCATACTCTATATTTTTTAAATTAATACACGAAGGCAATGATTTACCTAATAGGCCTTTATCTCGTCTAACGCAGGAATGTATATAATCCAGTTGTTTTTTTAATAGGTTTTCTTCACCGCTGACACTTTCAGATATTTGGTTCACTGTTTTGTTTCCAATACCATTTGCTTCTTGATGGTGTGTATCAGTTAACGGCTGCGCAGCATTACGTTTTAGACGTAACATCCGAATATCACATATTTCTCCATTTGGAATTGAGCGTACTCGATTTAGACTATTTTTTCGTTCCTGAACACTCGTAGATCTTTCTAACCGCTTGTCTGTACCACTGTTTTTTCTTTTCAACGGCGAAGATATTCGTGGTGGATTTGTAAAGTTACCCATGTTTGAAAAATAACATCAACGAAGAAAAAAACTTATCATCGTCATTGGATCTAAAAATAAGTAATTTTGAAGACTAGACCTTCATTTACAAAATGGAACGTCTCATAGCTCGCACTTTGTCTATAAGAACATTAGATGAGATAAAAGTGATGCTGAATAAAATCAAGCAAACATATGTATTTTTTTGCTCCAAACCGGTGTACGTCCGTAAGTTGCCAGGAGGTTAGAAATACAAGTTTAAACTCTTTCATTTCATTTGATGTTACCGTGGAATTTCACAAAATACAAAAACATAAAGTAGAAATACAAGATAGTAGATAGTTTTCACATTCACGTGAACGAAAGTTCGAAATAAAGGACAGATCAGTGGATTATTTTTGATAGAATGCTGTAGTAAGTGATACATATGATTCTCTCTCGATGAGATGTGAGATAATTACTAAGTTTCTTACTCTTAATCACTACAAATTATGGGTTTAGTTAGTTATTATCATTTCAAAAGTTTTTCATTATTAATGATCTTCTTGAATAAAAATATCTAAAATAAACTAAACACAGTAGAATTCAGCAAATAACAGAAGTTTCTAATTAACTAGCATTAGGAATTTAAATTAGTTGTCAACAGCAGGAGATAAAAACATTTTCTGCTATACGGAGGAGTGAATACAAATTGAAAAGAATAATTGTGATACTCTGTTTTTAGCTTTCCACAGTAACAGTCCCTGGAAAGTCATAAATCAAACTAGAATGCAATTGTGCTGCGCACAAGTTGTGATGTCGGCAGACACTGGTCTTATTAACAGCGACGGAGAGATAGTTAAAAAATTGAAAAAAGTTCATTCTTCACGATGATTTCTAATAGTAATCAAGTTTTAATTAAAAAGTGGCGTCGAACAATCAATTCTTATAAAGACACGAAAAGTTTCTAAATCCAAAACATATTTTACTCCTACTTGTGGAACTCAGGGCGCCAAATCTGGACCGTTGTATGAAAAAAGAACGTGCAGTGATCAATCTACGGTACCCAAACAGTATCCTTACGCTTTCAGAAGTTTCTATATAGGGGTATTGCTAAAAGACGCGAACACCCACGAACGCCCCCAAATTAAAATCTTAGTTAGCCAATCGATAGAGCTCGTCGACCTGAGTATAGCAATCCCTAACGAACATCCAAAAAATTTTTTATAGTTTCGCTTTTTAAGCATACATTTTGAATGAACACCCACGAACAGGTGAGGTATTGGTAGGCTCACCCACATCTCACCCTCAGCCCAGAATAACCTGGAGATGAATTTGGTACACTTTTTTGAGTGTTCTTACCCTTTCTTCTTTGTGTTCGTGGGTGTTCGTAGGTGTTCGTGGGTATTCATTCAAAATGTATGCTTAAAAAGCGAAACTATAAAAGAATTTTTGGATGTTCGTTAGGGATTGCTATACTCAGGTCGACGAGCTCTATCGATTGGCTAACTCAGATTTTAATTTGGGGGCGTTCGTGGGTGTTCGCGTCTTTTAGCAATACCCTCTATATAGTGTAGTTCTTTAGATCACGCGACTAACATTTTATAAAAAACATGACCAAACACGAAAGAAAAAAACAACTAGATTGTAATTGCGCTACGCACAAATTGCGATGTCAACAGATACTGCATTCTCTTTATTACTCTTTAACTAGTTTCCACCTCAGTGCACGTAGGAATAACAATGATTCATGTTTGGTATCAGTCACATAGACTTGAAGAATACAAGGAAAAGAGAGAGAGAGAATTATATTTTTTCTCAAGAACAAATGGCGCCGGACAATCAACTCTTATAAATATACGAAAAGTTTTGAAGTCCAAAACACATTTTTCTTCCACTTATCGCCTAATCTGAACTTTTGTTTGAAAAAAGAACATGCAACTGTCAATCTGCACTACAAAGAGAATATCCTCCTGATTCCAGAAGTTTTCTACGTTGCGTAGTTCTTTAGATCACGCGGCTCATATTTTGCAAAACAAAGTGACTAAACAAGAAAAAAAAAGAAATCATGGCAAAAATTCATTATGCCTGTCGACATTAAAATCGACATAAATACGACGCGTCATCTAATAAATAATCTCTGCAGTGAAAAATCGAACAAACTAAGTTTTCACATATTTTTAGTTGTTTGACGTTTCCAAATAAACTCGTCTATATTCGGGCAGAAATTACTCAGTTTTATAGATCATTCATCTGGATTTACCTTTATATAAATCTAAATATAAGTGCAGTTGAATCTGAACAAATAACCCTAAAAAATGGGCCAATTTTGCTAGACATAATAATCGTACGAAATAAGTACCAGACAAAGAAATAGTGAGAAGGACGAGGATACGGCCTGTCCATGAAACGATTTCCTTAAGTCAATCACATTTTGTCAAGATTATAGTTCTGCGAGTAAAACTCTTACAGAGCTCAGAGATATCTTATTATGAGGAGCAAACATTTTTCTTTAAAATAATTTTTAATAATTTTATTTTAATAATCATAGTTAGCACCGCGGTCATACACAGACTGTAAACTGAACGTCTTATTTCAAACATGTGTCATCTATTTCAAGAACTTTATCTTGAAATCCATGCAGTTATCCACGTTCGCTTAACTATCATTTTAAAGAAAAATGCTGGCTCTCAAAATGAGACGTCCCCGAGCTCTAGAAGAGCTTTCCTCGCAGACCTAGAATTTTGACAAAACGTGACTGACTTACGGAAAAGTAGACCGTGACGTGGACAAACCGGATACCTCTTACGCAATCGAATATACTATCGTCGAAACTTTCATAGGATTGGTTTTTTTTACACAAGTGATTGTGACCTGATATTAGCATACAGATTTGATTGCGAAAAACCTCTGATAACATTTCATTTCAAATATTAAGCACCATACACAGTGAATAAGAATAATTACCTCCAGTTTTTCTAGCTTCGTCGAGTATATAGTTTTATTGTAAAGATTAGTTAAGTTTTTTATATTATATTACATACATATCGTTGTTGTTTCTATATCAGCAAAACATTTCTAATTTCTTTCTCAAAAACTAGCTTTTTTCTCTGTTATATAGGCACGCAGAAACAGTATTCATTTATACCACCCGAACTATACTCAACGATAATAATAGACTAAACTATAATTTGATAGAAAAACTTCCGATATGGATCTATCTGCAGTTCTTTTATTTATTTATATTAGCTCTAATCGTGTTAGATATATTAGAGATGAATGAATAATTTAACTCGACTCAGGATTTGACATATAAATTTACCAAACACGAAACATTTTGATATGTACATATTTATCTATTCTGTCTGACATATTAAAATTATGATATTATTTCTCATGTCAAGTTCTCAAATCTTATGTAATAGAATAATAATGGTAAAAACACAACTTATACATTCGTATATTCTCTAGAAAAAAGAGAAGAAAAAATGATACATGATTTTGTCAAGATCACAAAGCATGCTCAATCAACTATCATTAATTTATTTTGGACTGAAAAAGCGTAAAACATAAAGAATGAATGAAGTATGAGAGATTCCGACGAAAAAAGCTAAAGTCATCTTCTTTTTAGGGTTTTCTTTTCTTTCTTTCTTTCTTGTCTGGGTTTTTTTCTCACTAATAGACATCACTCGACTGTTTTTTTATGTTCTCATTTATGTATTAGACGCGTAAATAGAAATAACTCATTGGCATCTCTTCTTCACTGATCTTTATTTATTATCCCAGAAAAACGAACCACACATAAAAATAAAAAAAAGAAATTGACGTAAGAGAGGTTGGTGAAGTCACATTTTATTTTTAAATTCTTTTTTTCTTAGTTTAATAACAGAATGAAAACATCAAGCAATACGTAATCAATACATACAAGGATAAAGAAATTTCATGCAAATAGGTATCCTGATATTTGAAGAAAAAAAATTTACCCATTTTTACTTAATCTATAGTATAAATAGAATCCACATTATTTTGTTATCATACACTGTATGGATTAGAAAAATGAATAATTTTTGAACATAATTTGAACATATCCATAGAGGTGTTATCTTCAACCAAAAAAATTTCGAGAATCGTTTTCTTTCGTCTAATATTTGCACCTAACAATATATAGTGAAAAATAACATTAAAAGAAAACGTTTTACCTCTTTAATGTTGTTTGCCAAATATTGTCTTATCTACTTTCCTTTTTTTTACAGACAACGATTACGTACTCGATTGGATTCACTGAACAATAATTCCACAAAGGAAATCACAATTTTTTTGCAAAAAGGCGTGTTTATGGTGAACATGATTAGTTAAATATATCTACGTTTGTTTATAAATCACATTATAGCCTGTTGAATTTCAATTACGCTGTCGTTGTGTAACATTGTTCATTATCGCTTCTTCTCTTTCTTTTTTTTCTTAGTGAACTTTATCTTTGACAAATTTGTAGACGACAAATGTGGGGAGAAATTTGTTTAAATAATACACTATATTGCAAATCAACACACTAATGAGGGTGTATATCATAGTATTAATAGAGCTTTAACACATGTTGTATGACGCTCGTCCAAAATAAACTTCTATGAAGAAGAAAAAAAAATTGAATACAATGATGTTATCATAATAGCAAAACACGAAAGTTATGTTACGTATAAATTTGTTTGTCGGTTATTCATCAATTTTTTCTATTACTATTCATAGACTCCCATTTTCAAAGACAAATATTCTTTTTAAAAGTAATAAATTATTTATTCGAAGAACAATATATTCGACCATTACGTAGTTTTATTCCCTCATTCCAATCTAATTGCATTTTTTCTACAATATGATCAAAATTATCAGCCAAAGTGACATAAATTTGACCACTAATGTTTCCATTTTCTGGTTTTGTCTCTCTCATATTCTCACTCACATCATTCCAGCTATCTTGAATTACTTTCACTATATTATGTGCAAATTGAGCAATATATCGTTCTTTTCCAACTGCTGTTTGAATGAAGGCAGATAATAATGGCATTTCAGATTTCTTGTCCAAATGATTTAAGTAAAATCTTACTGCTTGTCCTTTTGAACGATTTATTTTGGCCGGTGTTATTGTAAGATTTTTTGAATCATTGAGAACATCACGTAATGGATTCAATAATAATACATTACTAATACGTGGCGCTAATTCAGATGTGCGTAGAATCGCAGCCGCGATGACTTGTGCTTCATGAATATGATCAACATCATGATCAGAATCTATATCGTCTGTATCTAAACTAAACTTCTCATTTGTATATGGATCGCAATAATTGCGCAGTTTAAAAATAGATTTGACACGCTTCTTTGATCTTAAATCACCTACTCTAAGATATGATGTCAAATGTAGTGGTATTTCATTTATATCGAAAACGTCATCTGCAGGAAATATCTGATACTCTTTGATAGATTGACGAACTATAGAGCTGTTATTATATTGTTTGTCATTTTCAGCATCATTTGTGTCTTCTTCATTTTCATAAATTTTGAACACTGTTCCATTTTCTCTTTCACTGATCTTATCACCAGTTGATGGTGGCGATGTTGTTAAGCTATTATTGCTTGGCTTTCCATTTTCCGTAGTAGATTGTTGATTCTCACGTACATAACTCATATGATATCTACTTGAACAATGTCTAGAAAAACTTTTGTCTTTCAAAACCTTGCCACATACACACGTAATCGACATGTTTTTTCTACTGCTGCTGTTTTAGTGACTTGTTTGTCAATCGAAAAAACAGACTACACAATTCTTTCTTAAGTTTTTTTCCCTTTCTTTTGCTCGATGAGTAATCCTGTATAAATTACTCATGTTAGAGAAACTAAGTACTGTAATAGAACAAGTGAAAAATGCGTTTTGATCACCAGATTTATTAGCAGCGAAATGATCACCACAAAAAATAAGGTTTTTGATTACCAAATTAATTTTAGTAGACAGACAACAAAAAGAATATAAAGAAAATATATACAACAAGAAATATGAACGAAACAGAAGTTTAATTTCATTTCTTTTGATCTCCTTTGATTTTAATAGTTTTGCCAACTCAGAGCAATTATAAATAACGGCGCTAAAGTGTACACGACACCATGGAAAAAACATCGAAGCAAGAATCGAAACGATTATACACAGCTAGCACGTACGATGAAACGAAAGAATATGCAAAATTAGTTTAATATTTGTCAATATCGTCGATCAAATTTAAAAAATCATACAAAATATTCTTTCAAACGTAGTGGGTATGGAACAAGGGGAAACAGCGGTATTAATACCGAAAAAAATACGGCACACATACTACTCACATACCCAAAGATCAATTGAGTTTGTGTTTAAAAGATAGACATAACTGATACAGGCATTTTGTTCAGTTTTTTACGCTCTTTCCACTAAAGTACAGTCAAATAGTACAGATAGTACAGAATAAAATATCCTGTTTGTAATAGTAGCTTTTATCTAGGTTTTCTTGAAGTCCCACAAATGGTACCTAGTGACTTCAGGTAGTCTTAGAGTTGCACAGAACATACGTAATCACCCAAGTTGAATCTGATGACCATGTTTAGTTTTATACAAGAGCTCAAGAACAACATGAAAACCGAGTTTTATGAATATTAGGATTACCACAATGTTTTCATCTAATATTAAAAAATTCACAGCTCACTCAGAAACATCAGGACGAGTTGGAAACTTCATGATGTACAGAATTCAGGCTATTCTATACCCTATTTATACAAAAACGTAGAAAAAAAGATTCTAAAATCATATGGTTTTTCGAAAGATTTTCCAGAAAACTTTCGTACGGAAACATTGTTTTCAATTTCTTTTTATCGTATAATTACGTTAAACAGATAAAACTAATATTACCTCGAAGTTTTCAACTCGTCCTGGTGTTTCTGAGTGAGCTGTGAACTTTTTAATATTAGCTAATCTATCCACTACTTGTTTATTAGACTGCTTTAGATATTTTAGCCCAGAAGTTTTCGTTACTGAAATCTATTACGAGAAGTTTATTTGCGCGATTTTTATCTGTTTTTGCAGAAAAACATACTGAAGGAAATCCACAGATAGATTCGAAGAAGGTATGGAAACTATCCTTTTTGCTCTTCAGCCGGATAGTCGTCCACAATCAGTGACAATTGTCACTGATTTCTGGACATGATTAATCATGCCCAGAAATGTACATGAACATGAACAAGAAAAACGCAATCCCACAACACATCTACCATGATCCATTCAAAAATCTGAACAAATGTTAACAGATTGAGCAGAGGCAATATTTCATCACCATTTGCTGCTGCTACAAGTATATGTGCTGATAAGGAGCTGCATGCTTACAAATGGTCGGTAAATATAAATCGATCTGTTATTTTACATTGATTTAATACATTTTATGTTGTTCCACATTCACGGCAACAACAACAACGTCAGTTTGGTTGGATTTGTATCAATCTGATCAATGGATATCATTTGACGATTTTGTGGCATGGTGGATATCATATTGGTTAGTGTCACCGTTTACATCGACTGTACAATTGGCCTCAAGCGATATATGTGCAAACACTCCATTGTATTAGCCATTTTATTCACCACGTATCAGGTGACAAACAACAGTCGTTGTGAACCGTTCGGTAAGAGAAAAAATAAAGGTCATCCGAAAAACGTTCGCACAGCCTTGTGTTCCCATGAAGTTAGTTTCTTTCTGTTCTATTCATATTTCTTCGTGTATATATTTTCTTTGTGTTCTTTTATTGTCTACTAATTAATTTAGTGAACAAAAATATTGACACCCATAAAACAAACTCAAGTGACATCAAACGTGTGAAAGACTACTGGATACTTCTAGATGAAACAACTAGTAAATTTAGATCAAAGAATTCACAGTATGTCTTCTACGCGTGAATAAGTTTTGAATTCAAGTAAACTATCATTCGTAATTGTATTCAGTATGACAAAGCTCACCTAACTCTTGTTTTCTACTCGAGAAATGCTTGTCAAAAAGAATTATTTGTGCAAGTAGAGCAAGTAGAAGATTTTGTAATAACAGTTGAAAAGATTGATTTTTTTATTGAACATTAAAATAGGAAACAAACATTTAACACTACTACTTGTAACATTAAAAATAAAAATATATATCAAGTACCAAAAAAGACATAAAAAAGGAGATTATAAATCCAGACAACACAAATCGAAAGTAAAAAAAGAACGTAGAACACATAACATTCAACATGTTTAGTTGCTAGTGTCATCTTGTTCATTCAAACAAATTGTTCGCACAAGAATATCAGTCACAGCGTAAGGATCACAATTTGATGCTGGTCGTCTATCTTCTAAATATCCACAACCATCTTCGCCCACTTGTCTTGGTATCCGAATTGAAGCACCACGATTGGCAATACCAGCACAGAAATCATTAATATTTGCTGTTTCATGACGACCCGTCAATCGTCGACGATTGTCCATGCCACCCTTTGGGTCATAATGTTTGATATGTGTTTGATGACGTGGTTTCAGTTTTTTAATTGCTTCATTAATCGCTCTAGAAAATACTATCACATGAGTGCTGTTATCATATATAACAATTATTTTACTTACTCAATTCCATTCGGTTCTCTCATCGCTAATGTTGAAAAATTTGTATGACAACCTGCTCCTAAAATACACAAGAAAAGGATGTTAGTCAAAGTTAACTGAGAAAAGAGCTCATTTTATTGTACCGTTCCAATCGCCTGGAATGGGTTTCGGATCGAAGCTAACTTGGATACCATATTCTTCAGCAATACGTTGTAACAAATACCGAGATACCCACAACTGATCACCCGCATCGATGCCTTCGCACGGTCCTATCTGATATTCCCATTGTGCAGGCATTACTTCGGCATTTGTACCACTTATGTTTATACCAGAATATAAACAAGCTTTATAATGTGCTTCCACAATATCACGACCCAATGCTCGACGTGCACCAACACCACAATAATAGGGACCTGAAATAATATTAAGTAAGATATTTTTCGATAAAACCTTAAATGATCTCTCACCTTGTGGTTGAGGATAACCGCCTTTTGGCCAACCAAATGGCCAACCATCTCCATCGAGAAGTGTATATTCTTGTTCAAGACCAAACCATGGGTGTTCATCAGCAGCAAGTTTCATTGCTTCTTCACATTCAAGTCGACGATTTGTTTCTAATAAAACAGAAATATAGTTTAAGTAATAAAAATCTAACCAGTTTTGATCGTGCTTCCGATATTTTCTTGTTTTCAGGTTTCCTTTTCTCAGCCTAAGGTAGACAGCAATCGAATTAATGTTCCTAACAGAAACTATACTAAAAGTTATCTAATATGCCAAGACGATGTTCTAGAGTCGATAGTGATTAAAAAGCGAAATCTATTTTTATCTTCATCAAAATTCAGGCTATTGAAGATGATATAACTAGGAATCATAACTAGTATCACTTACTTGTTGCGTCTTTATTGTATTTGTACGTTTCACACATAACTAATTTATTACGTCCAAGCATAAATGGATCATTATAAATTGCCACAGGTTTCAGATAAATATCTGAATTTGAACCTTCTGCTTGTCCGGTGGAACTACCATCGAAATTCCACCATGATAAATCATCTGCTTTCTTTGGCTCTGTATCACAGGTTCGTGTTTTTGCTCGTATATTTTCACCTGTACCATCGATCCAAATATAGGTAGCAAGAATTTTTCCATCTGGCTGTGGTAAATCCAAGTAACGTTTTAATACTTGTTTATCTGTACCAGCCGTATTTGTATAAATTGGATTAACTAACATTTTTAATCTGCTGTTGATATTTTAAGTTAAGAAGTATGTCCTACCACGTAGATATCGTTGGTAAAATGACGACTGAATATTTTATTTCTCAACTTGTCTGATCGACAAACGCACGATGATTTTATAACAGCGGTTGGTCTCTCTTTCTTTCTCTATTTCTCTTGTTTCTATGATCTCTCTCCATTTTAGAGTTGACGTTCTATTTATGTAGTTTAGTCCAACTTTGTCAAACATTTATCACGCGCTGTTCTTGTGGGTATCACGTCTTCTTCACAATAAAAAAAATTTTCGTTTTGCTTTTCAGAATTATTTCATTACACTTAAAACACTTTAGCGAGTATGAGATTTACCTCTGACATGAACTAATCAAATGCACAGCTGATAATATCTTTTTATTAACCACCAAAATATTTGATTTAGTATAAGTATGACGTAGATAAAATTGGGGTCAATCGTAAGGTCAGTCCAATGGCATGTGACTATATATTTGAATATTTATTGACATAGGGCGTTAGCAGTAGCAGTGACTAATGCAAAAAAGAAGATATCAAACTTATGATTCATAGAATGTAATCATTTGTCACAATATAGAACTAAAAATGGAATTTAACAGTACTGCCATATTCACACGACCGTTGCTGTCGAAACTAATGCAACAGCGTAAGAACTTTATAGCACCTATCCTTTAGTTGTTCTATTCTACATACGAAACAAGAGGTGAACAAGTTTAAACTTCCAGCATTTATTGACAGACTTGAGGTCCAATGAAATTGGAGAGTTTTTATCAAGTCCGTTTGAACTTGATTTAGAATCTATCATATTTAAGAATGAAATCAGTGTAATCTTAAATATAATTTTATCTTTTGTCAAACATGTATCTAATGTATAATATTGACTAAACTTTACGTACTTATCGTATATGGCTGATGAATAACAATACATAGAAATAACGGAATAGACATTGAATTATACGTCTATCCGATATAGATTCGAATACTGTTTCATATACGTTCTCAATGCGAAAATTTTTACGGCATCGACTACTACGAATTCTGAGAATAACTCTGGTTTAGAAAAAATTAGTCAACAAATTTCCTATCGGATTTGCTCATCTCTGTACGAAACTGTTTGCAAAGATCACTGTCACTCTAATCTATCAAATTAATACAACGTTATTAGAAGGCTTTAGAAACATATGCCAAACGGTAGAATATGCACATGCATCTGTTCGTTTAGTTCTTTTTTTACGAACTATTCGCTTATTGCAAAAAACGCTTAGAACAATCTTTTGTTTACTTTAATAAAAATATATATTGTATATTTTCTGTTTGCTTTTATCCTGTTTTAAAGTCAAAGTGTTTGTCTTAAAAGTCTATGATGATCTTACGTAAAATACGCACTTTTAGTAAAGATTGTGCTGGTAACAGAAATTTTGATTGAATAGTGAGTGCATTTCAATAATATACAACTCATTTTGATACAAAGCAAAAATTTTATTTTTCAAGGCGTATATTGCAATAGATTTATCGTACCCGCAAAAGTTTTGCCACACCATTTTTTGTATGGATTTGTAAAGAAAAAAAATCGAATTGGCCGAAAGTAGTGGAACTAATGAGAAAAAAAAATAAAGTGTTTTTTATTAGGATGCTTATAGTTAATTCATGTCAGTTGTAGTGTGCTGAGAATTATTTTTCTTTTAATAGTGCAACATATTACCATAAATTCAATATATAGGCCGGCTATGTATATCCTTTTAGACATTCCAAGACGCCTTGATTACACAAACAGGCAATGAAGTTCATGGTTAGGAACAAAAATAACTGAATTATCAAAATAGATACTGTCACATTGTTAAGAGTGCGATACTGAAAAAAATCCAGTGTTTGTTAACAAATTCAAAGGAGATGTTTAAAATCAACCTGTTGATATCATACAGAGGTTGATACATTAGAAGACTCTCCTCCACTTCGTTATGTAAAAATTAAAATAACAGACCTGCAGCTTTTAGATTCTTTTAAGGAAAAAAGATCAGTTATATTGATGACAAAATAATACTTCGGCTAAAATCACCATATATCTACGGCTCACTATGCCCCCAGCTGTTGGCAAAATGAGGCTAACGAAGAACATTAGTTTTTTTTTTAACTCAATTCAAGACCTCTCCGAAAAGTCTTTGAAACTCAAGACAAAGTAGAAAAACGAAGTGCTTTTACTACATAACCCCTTTTATGTTGTTCAGAAGATTTTAGTAATGAACAAGAGGTCACGGACAAGTTCGGTACGTGCTTATGTCACAAAACAATACAAAGCATTAAAAAACGGTATACAAAAAACAAAAATTCATACAGTTAATGACCATAAAAAGGCGTCGAAACATATTTTTCGTTGAATAAGTACTATAAAAGTGATAGAACTGAACTCGTATTTATAAATCAATATGAATTGAATGAAGACCAGCTTCTGAATAAAAAGAATTACATTAACAAAACATGACATGTTGAGATTATTCATATATGAATGTAATTGGATGGAGCGTATAGGTCAATACAGATGCTTTAACGTCCATTAAAGATAATATTTGGATGTACATGGTTTTCTAAAATATTCAGACAAAACATCGTTTGAACTTGTGAAAAAAATTTTGCCGCAGTACATTTATATAACAAACTCAGAATTTTACTTAGAGGATCGAAAATTATTTCGATGTAATTCATTAAGGATGGAACTTTAGTGACTCAATCTCGTCGCAAGAGAAATATCTTCAAGGGTTAACTATAAGAAGTTAATACACATCCATCATAGAAAATACAACGGCTAATGCAGCTCATTTTAATTTCATTTTTTTTTATTGTAAATTTTCGACATTCACGGTCATCACCGGTTCATCAGAACTGTACTACAAAAACTTTACATCAAATATTCGTTAAGACGCGATATATATTCCCAAGAATGGATGAAGAAGAAATCGACAAACTCCTTCGTGAAACAACTCAAGTGAACAAGCCGAAGAAGGATATATATAGCAAAGTCAGCGATAACTAAACATTATGTTCAGACCAGTCATACAATAAAATCTAACGATTTCCAAATTATTTTTACGGTACAACATCGATATCGGCTTTTGGTTAAAGAATTAATGATTATCAGAGCGGCAATGTCAGTTCTCAATGGTATCTATCGTTTGGTACCACTATACGTTTTTCCTGACAGTCTTGAAAACTTCCAACATAAATGCAATGATGATGGTCAACTGATTCCACCAACAACAGTCAGTGATTGAGAGTCTTTCCACCTACAGATAATGATGTCATGGATTATTTTTCTTCTTATGAATAAGAAAGAAAAGGAAAATAGATTCTTTTGTTTATTTCCTTTCTTTCTTTGTACCTGGAATGTATATGGCGTCTTAATGAATATTTGATGTAACGTTCTTGTAGTATAGTTCTTGTCTGATGGTGACCGTAAAGATCGGAAATTCACAATAAAAAATAAAAATGAAATTAAAATCAGCTTAGCCGTTATATTTACTGTACAACAATCGTTGCCCACTCAGGATATTCCTTCATAGGAAGTGTGTAAGAGGCTTGAAGTGTTATTATTCTGTATGCTTTCTCCGGATTAATCCAAAGAAATGATAAGCAGTGCATATATTTTTGCTTATAAAAATTTCCTCAGAAATGAGCTAAAATAAACTTGATATGTACCGAGCACATTCATTATGGATTTCAAACGGCACGTTAGAGATACAGAATAATATGTCAAAAATTTGTGACCAATGAATCGCATAATGTGTGTCTGAGGGCACATATTTTCTTCTGGTGTGGTGAAGTAATGCACATAGTTTATGTTGAGATTCTTACCAATCAGGCAGCGAGGCCGTTCGGAAGGCATCCATCTTCCGTGATTGCATGTCCAGCCTGTCGGGCCTACCAAAGTATAATCTATTGCAAATAATAAATGAATATCTATCAACGTTGTAAAGAAAATAACTGACACAAATAGTCTAACCTGGATTACATTTAAACTGTATGGTTCTACCGTGTCCAACATTAGATATGTAAGAACGAAATTTGCTTTTGATTGGGCGGTAGGAGATTCGATCATGAAGTAAAACAGATATTTTTCCATTAAGTAAAGGGCCAGGATTTAAGCAGAAAACTAAATAGATTAAATAAAAGCAGCTTTCGAAAATCGTTTCTTGTTTGTTGAACGGAAAATATATATAACGGAACTTACTTGGTAAACAGCGAGGAGGACGAGATGGTGTCCATTTGCCATGATGACAAGTTAGCTTATGATAATTATTCTCAATTCTGTAGCCTGGAAAGCAACGATATCGAGCCACACTACCATGATACGTTGAGCGAAAAACAGCTCGTCCATTCCAGATTGCTGGTGGATGTTCTTTGCACGATGCTAGAAAGAAAAACTAGATTATAAAATAATCGTAGATTTCCATAAAACTTCTATCTTGCGATGTTAACTAACACTGACCAATTCAAATAAGGTAATTCGTAAATTCATGCCTTTTATTTCATAGAGTATGTTTACAAAAGCTTGGTTAAGAAACATGCTTACCCGAGCAACGCTGCTCATGTGAGAGTTGACCGTTTGTACAAATTGTATTAACGGTAAGGGTGTCAGTTGGTCGTAACGTCGTCTTAGACGTAACAGTAGTGCCAATAATATTCTGATCGTATGACACGTCTGACATAACAAAGGTATCCAAAACGGAACAATATGTGTGTCAGTCCATTATCACGAAGAATAAGCTTCTTACCACTGCGAGTACAAGTTGGTCTGTCCGATAAATGTCCATTTATGCAAATAATTGAAACATTTGTTTGTGGAACACTGAAATTGTCATTACAAGAATAAGAAACTCTTTCATGATGTGGAACAGATAATTTGGCAAACTTAATATTCGTGTAATTTGTCAATAAATATAATTTACATTCTTTAAAAAACAGAAGAAGAGAAGATATATAATTTATTGACAA